GGGGCACAGTGGCACTGGGCTGAGGGGAGCAGAGCCGTGGGGCACAGTGGCACTGGGCTGAGGAGAGCTCATCTGGGCAGCTGTCACCAGTGTGATGGGATTGTTTTCTGTGCATCAGCTGGCCTCAAACCACGATGGACCATGGCACTGCTTTTCAGTCCAAAGCAAGGAGGGAGGCTAAGCCTGTGACTTGACATCTACTTTACAGTTTGGTGCAACCTTCTCCTCACCTGGGGTAAAAGATATTGAAAACACTTAACATTTACTGTCTATAAGATGTGGATTAGTTAAGGGAGATAAAATGCCTGAATGATTGTGAAAAACACAAATCATGCAGAAATTATGTCATGTAGAAGGATTCAAGAGGCAGAGGCAGTCTCATCATTAGCTGCATGGCAGAGCCAGTATGTTTCTAATGTGTGATCCCAGCACAATTTGATGTAGATGGCAAATCATCATCGGTCTGGGCAGGACTAGAAGATACCTCAAGACATCTTTAAGCTTGCCACCCTGCCTCATGCAGAAATAAGGTTCCCTAACTCATTACTGCCAGATGTTTGTCAATATTAGAATGGGTTAGACAGCAATGGAAATTCCACCCTCTCTAGGCAAGCTGTTTACTTAATCATCTCTGTGTTGAAGCACAGCAAGAGAACTGCTAATGCTCTGTTAAGCCAAACCAAATGGTTAGAAATATATTGACCTATTAACTTGCAGAAGTACAGACAAACAGGCTATGTGGATATGTTGCATCCCAAGCAGTTTGGGCAGACTGAAGTTTAGGATTCCTTTGAAAAAAGCCCTGAGGGACAGCTTGCATCAGTTCAGCTACAGATACAGTGCAAACAGTTGTGTTCTCCAGTGACAGCAGGGCAGACCACGGTGTGGTGCATCCATGACTGGACTGCCTTGTCTTAGGCTAGATTGATATCCTTGCCCTTGCAAAGCCTGGGTGCTTTGTTTCTTCGGAATGGCATTTAAATAAAGTTTCTTGAGCAAGTTTGCTGTAGGAACATGCAAGTTGATCCTTAAGATTAACAAATTTGAAAGATTTGAGACTAATTCTGTAGTGATTTTGTCCCTGTGCCTCCCTCTGTGAATTGATGAAATTACTGCACAAACTAATGATTAGCTTACAGTGTTACCCAAACGGTTGGCATTTCAGCACTACAGAAGAGTTCCCAGTTCAGGCTGTCTGCTTGTGCTTATACTGCATGTTCAGCACTTAAACCAAAGGCATCAAACATTGAGGTTGCAAAACCCTGTGGGTTTATGCTGTTACCAATTTCCCAGGACAGCAAATCATTCCCCATGCTGCTCAAGGGAGGGTACACTGTGTCACTGAGTACAGTTGTTTCTGTAGCAAAGATGAGGCTTTAGAATTAAGCTCAGAAACAGATTTAACAAGCTGATTACAAACACATACTCATTTCATGATAAAAGTCATGAGAGATGTCATTTCTGGCTGAGATGCTGAAAATAGTTCCTTTAAGTCAGCCAGGCATGGGTGCAGAAGTGGCAGCTCTAATGCTGCACATCAACACAATACAACTCGAGTGAGGATCTTTAATACCACACACCCTGGAGTTTGGCCAGGCTGCATCTCTCTCCCTTCCCTGAAGAGAACAGCCCCTAAGCACTTTTACAATTACTATCACTGGGACCTTTGTTCTGTCTTGCCTCCAACAGCACATAGCCCCTTGATGCTGGAGGTAACACGGGGTTATTGGTTTAATGATGACTGTTTGGGAAGAAAGCCATCTTCTAAATTAACACCACAGTTGCTTGCAGGAAGTCTTCCAGCACAGAGCAGGTCTGTTCCCATGAAATGAACATGCTGTGCCCACAAACAATAAAATTTCAAGTTAGGACTGGGTTGTGTAGACTATTAGGAATAAATGCATGGACATGTTGCTGTTCTGCTAAACAGTTCTGGGTATTTTTGCTGCTTCGCGTGGTTTGTAAAAATGGATTTTAAAACCATTTTCCCTAACACCATGCTGCAGCAACTCTGGAGTGAATGTTGCTGGCCTGGGGAAGGCAGGCTTACTCCTGAGGGTGTTGCTGGAGGTGCTGTGGCAGAGCTGAGGTGGGAGAAGGTCTGGGTGTTGTGGCTGTTGCCAGCATCCCGTGGAGGGTTCACTCTTGGGAAGCCAGATTTACCTCACTCCTCCTGAGGCATCTATGGGAGATGCCACACAAGAAAGAGTGTGCCCTTAACTACACAACAAAGGGAATACTGGTGAATGAAACACACAATGTTTCTGAAAAATGGGGGTTGTGATAATAGGAGGAAATGCAGAATGAGTAGGACTAAATGCTCCTGAGAGGAGGTAGAGCCCCCACCTCTGGCTTGAAATTCCAGAAGTTTTAGAAAGATAGTGTAAAATCTGGAATGCATGTTGCAAGTGCTCCTGCCTTGAGCCAAGTTCAGATTCTCAGAGCAGTGGATGACTTTGCCTTTTTTTTTTTCTATTTTGTTTCTTGATATGTGTCCCCTCTGCCTCTCGGAGCAGGCCTCAGGGTGCCCGTGCAGCTCCCACACGCTGTCCTCGCCCTCCTGCCGCCCTGCAATGTCCGTGATAAACCCGCCTGGAGCCCGGCCCTGCCTGCTGCTGGGGGAGCCCCGGCACGATGAGGGCCAGAGCCTAATCTGGGAGCGGCAGCTTCCCCCCAGGGGCTGTCCCTGCGATACCGGCCGGGCCGGGCCGGGCCGGGCTCCCGCTCCAGGGCTGCTGCCCGCGAGTGCTCACACGGCTGGGGAGCACGCTGCTCCCGCAGCCCTCCTGCAGGAAAGAGTCGCCGGAACATCCTTAAATTGCCATTTCCATAGGATCCCCATGGCTCCTGCAGTTTTGTGTCTCAAGAGCCTCCCGTATTTTTGTTGGAAATTGGGTTGTGTGTTTCTAACCCTGTTCAGGGAGGATGCAGACAACATCTGATGGTTGTTGCAGCCTGTGCTGCAGTGAGTGCTTCTCCTCCACCCTTCTTATTTTTCCTTGTCCTGGGTTAAACCTGTTCCTTCAGTAGCTTGTAAGTCCTGTTTCTCTCCTCTCAATCCTCTCAGTTTACCAAGATGGATAAAAGCAGGGTTGTCTGTAATGGGATGTGGGACGTGGGCTGAGGCCTCCCAGTGTGCAGCCCTGACCCTGAGGATGGACACACAGCCAGGACACTCCCCAGGAGCGACTGTCACCCAGTGCCTGGTTTGCCCAGCCCTGCACCTGGCCACGACCTCCTGGTGCCCCCCACAGAAAGGGAATTCGGAGGTCATTTTGCAAGGTATCTTTGGTCTGGTGGCTGGGCAGGGTCAGAACGTTGCACAGGGTCTGCTGCCCTCGTTTGCTGTTTGGCTTTTCTGAGGTCCAGGGGATACATCTGAAGGCAGTGGTTGGTCTCCAAGCTCTCCAGGCTATTACCTATAATGACAGCTTTATTGTGGAGTTCTTCCCATGCTGTAGCTACAAGAATATCCTGTGGATGTAAAATGCTGGCAAGTGGAGGCTCTTGAGTATGTACCCAGGTCTGTAGGGCTGTAATGCACAGCAGAGCTGGAAACCAGGTGCTTTTCTGGACCTCAGCTTTTAAGCTATTGTGAATTGTGAAATGCTCTTAACAAAAAGCAAAGGCCAGCTGGGTTGTAAATTGCTCACTGTCAGTATCAGTTTGTGTATTTGAGACCTAAGAAAATGCCAGCATGATCTGACCCAGGAGAATGAGATAGGTTTCTAGCTGTCTTTGTACTAAAATCTTGTTAAGTAAATTGGCTTTAAAATTGAGTGTGTGTGCGGTGGTGCTGTCCCTGCGAGTCAGCATTCGTGTGGATGAATAGTAGTACTTGGGAATGTTCCTCAAACCTTCAGAGCTCTCTGTGGCTGGCTGAGTGCATGTTCTTCTCACCACAGATTTCAGCATTCACCCGCAGCA